TCCAGCCATCTTCCATTCCTAGCCTTCCCCGCCGTTCGAACTCTTTGTGCCATGCCCGTTTCTTCCTCGTACACGGCCCACAACATTGGCTCGCCTTTTGTGCCTTTACTTTCCGTCGTCTTTTGGCCCGGAACTTCTTAACCTTCAACTCGGCCCGTGGACCACATCCCTTTGGCCAATCTCGTACGCATGATGGCCGAGATATTGGACTTGATGGCTCTTCCAACATGTTCTCCAACCAAATATCGAGACCATCGTCCTTCTCCTTATCGGACTCACCGGGGTTGATGACCACTTCCGTATCATTCCCCTCCTCTTCAAGACTTTCCTTGTCCTCAAGGATTAGAAAGTTAAGCGCACCATCTTCTTCACGGTTTAGAACTTCACCCATCATTGCTCCTTGCCCTTCCATGAGTTGTCGCTCGTAAGCTTCACGATTTCTTCGTTCATGGAGCTCGTCTAGATATGTGCTCTCCCATGGTGTAAGTTCTCTCTCCAAATTCTCCAACAGTTCGAGATCTTCCCAATCCATCTCGTCCATTGGTGGGTAAGACATGATTTTTTTTTTTTTTTGACTCTATAAAAATCGAAAAATTAAATGAAAAATTCGAACAAAGAAGTTGGTGGGCAGCGCGTGGGGACGACTTGCCGGGCAAGAAAAGAAGTTTCCTAGGAGTCTTTTGAGCTGATTATTCTTCCATACTTGGAGTGCAAGTCAAGGCACAATATCCCCTAGTTATTTAGTTTCCTTATTGCTTTATAATTTCTAGATTGTTTAGGATTCTTAATATTTTATTGCTTTATTAGTTCCCTAGGTAGAATAGACTTAGATCTAGTTGGTGCCTATATAAAGGCCCCTTCTCCTATGTTATTTTTCACAATTCAATCATCCAAGAAATTAATAGAAATCTAGAACTTTGTTCTTCCAACTTTGCTTTAGTCTTTTCACCAGAATACTATTGCAATTTTATTCGTTCCAAGAGGCGTTGTTGTGGCTCGAAGAACACTATCGGCGATTCAAGGCGCGGGTTAGCGGCTTATCGGCAGTCGAAACACACGATCCTCATCAACCGTCCCCAGCGCATGCACGGTGCCAGCAGCACCAGCCAACGCCCGGGACCAACCCAGCAGCGCTAGCCAGCGCCAGCAGCGCCGGCAGCGCCCAGGCTGCGCCTTGTGCGCGAGTAACCGAGCCGGTGGTCAGTCAGCAGCCGACTGCCCGGCCACAGCAAGTCGGCGGTCCGGCCAGTTAATGAACCGGCCGGTTTAAACTGGATTTGGAGTTGTTCAGTATTTATTGATTCGGTTCGAGTCCAGTATAGTATTTCAGTCCCGTTTTCAGTTAAATTTCAAGTCCAGTCCAGTTCAGTAAATTCATGTCTGTTCAGTTCCGAGTTTATTCAGTTCCAGTTATACCGGTTAAGTCCAAATATTATGTTTAAGTCCAGTAGAGCATCTTAACATATTAAACAATTATTTTATCAGTCTGAGCATAGTAATTAATAATTGTTTATATTATTTTCAGTTTGTTCAGGATCCAGATATCAGCACTTACATTTTCAAACCAGCAGTTCAGGTGGGGACTCAGACTGGGTGTTACATTGGTTATAATTACTCTATCATGTTTTAAGGTATGTATATTAGTTATTACGCTCTTGGTGGAGGCGCAGTAGCCTTAATAGGCCATCCCGAGTTCCGGTGGAGGCGCAGTAGCCTTAATAGGCCATCGGAATGTGCACATGGACGGACATAGTGTCCGAGGAGGTTCAGTTCAGTTACAGACCTTGTGTCTGGAGTTTACAGTTTACTTATATATACCTGCAGGCATGATATTGATATTATTATTAATGTTTACTTTAGTATGAGTTTCTGCGGAGTACAATGTTTTTGGTACTCACGCTCCCACTATTATCATGTTTTTCAGGTCATGAAGTCGGGACGGAGGAGTGAGATGACGGAGCTGTTCGGGACTATGCTTATAAAGCTTAAATTGCCTAAGCTTTATGCTTATAAAGCTTAAATTATGTTTTGTACAGTTTGAATTTGGCATAGCAGTGCCGTTGCAATTTCCAGATAGCTTGTTTTCACGATCACGGTACTGCTATCCAACTTCACCACTACAGTTTCTGCTGATGTTTTACTGTTCGTCATTCTTAGTCAAATGAATCAGTCGGCGAACTAGTAGTTGGTTTTTCAAACCAAAAGTCCAGATTTTTCAGTCAGTTATGTATTTTAGTAGCACTCCGAATCAGTACTTCGCAATGTAAAATGTTTTATTTTGAATGTGATTGCGAAAAGCGCGCTCTGATTTTCATGTCAAGGCGGGGTGTTACAGTTGGTATCAGAGCACATTTTTGTGTATCTGAACACTTTACTAGTTATAAAGTTTTAGAAAAACCCAAACACGTCACGCTCACGCCTCGCCGACTACCAGGTAAGTGCTGATTAAGTTTTAAATTATAAACAATTTACTATTTCTATGCTCAGAAATTTCTCAGTTACAATATAGTTAAGATGCTCGAATCATGTTCATGATCAGTAGTCAATATACTCGGGATTTTATGTCAGTATTCCCCGGTCATGTTTAGCAACTCGTCAAGAAATTTGTGTGCTTTATTGATCAGCTTCAATAAAGTCATTAGTAAGAATGTCTGGATCAGAATTCAGAACCTTAGAAGGGGCTAATATTGAAAACTCTAGATTCAATTCTAGATTTATTCAAGTCAAGTTAATGATTCGTTTAGTGATTTGTAACAATTATGTTCTACAAATCTTAGCAATTCAGTTCCTCAGACATTTTCTAACAAAACTTTTTGTTCTGCCAACCAGTTGGCACATTCCAAGGAAGAATTCCTTGAATTAAACCAGGGAATAAGCTCAATCTTCCTGAGTTAAGTCAGTAAATCAAGTTCAGGGCGAGATTTTTCATGCTAAAGGTTGTTAAAAATTTTTAAGTCATTGTCAAGGTAACGGTCTCCAGTGTATAAGAGTCAATAAGTCCGGGTTACCATGGAGGCTTGAAATAAGAGCCATTAAGCCGGGTATACTGTAACACACCACCTTACTGTATAAATCAGAGTTGCGCAATTATTCGCAAAGTCTTTGAAAACTAAAACATTTTACTTTGCGAAAACTGATTCGGGGTGCTACCGTGAAAAATCCGTACTCAACTTAGAAAAACCGTTGTTTTAATTTAATAAAAACGTCCGGTTACTGAAAAACTTGATTTCTCAAAAGTTCGTCAAAATGATGCGTTCGTCAAAACGTACGTCAAAAGATAATAAAACATCGTCATACGTCATCAAAAGATAAGCGGAAGCGTAAGTCATAAGTATATTTATACAGTCCAAAACATATATAAATATCCTGAGGTCCCGTCATGCCCCGTCAC